TCTGCAAAGCTTATTTCAAGCTTATTTCATCATCATTTAAAAAGCCAGAATTTTAAGTTGGATCAGAAGTCAAGATTAACAAGTCCAGTTCAAGTCCTATTTTTTTAAATAACAAGTTACTACAAGATCATAAATTCTAATACAAAGGAATCAAACAATATGGATCCATACTTCATTTTTACTATTATTGATTTAGGTATTCCTGTAAGTTTAATGAGAGCACAAATAATAAGGAATCAAAAGGTAATGATGTTAAGGAAGAGTTAAATCCCCAGTCATTAGATCAGTGAGTCACAGTCCACACCTCTGGGTGCGGTATTGGCACAAAACCCACTACCCATTTCCTGTCTGTCTACTTTCAAAATAACAATAAAATAAAGGCCACTAGAGCCTAAAAAAAAAAAATAATAATAATAATAATATATATATATATAAGAGTATTATTACATCAGCGCAATATTACTTANACACACACACACACACACACACACACACACACACACACACAAGGGCAATTGAGGACAACATGAGAACTAACATAAATCTAGAAATTACAACAAAGTAGGAATTAAACCAATAAAAACCAGAAAACAAGGAGCAAAGTAAAGCATAACATAACCAAAACCATGACAAGCACAGAGTTATTTGTTGGCTGAATATGAATGTGCAGTCCTGATCAAAAGAAAAAGGCCACTCCTTTGTGCTGAGTTAAGTTCTTGATGAGTATCGGATTTGGATGCAACTGGTGAGAACCCATAAAAGATATGAAAAGTGTTGGAGAGCAAGCAGACTGAGAATGGCTGGAGGCACTGGGGCATTAGTTGACTTAAATCCTAGGAGAGAGGCTGTCATGCAGAGATGGTTGCGAGAGAACCAAGGGAAGGCTTAGAGCAGGCGAGGTTACTGCCCCCTGGGGGAACAGAGGGACAGAGACGAGCTCTGGGAGGTAAGAATCACAAAATATTAAATAGATTCAAAAGTCAAAGACAATCTCTGAGATGCAGGCTGCTCGTCTCTACCAGGTGGGATGAACCTCAGGTACAGAATGGCAGTCTGTCTCACAGCTCCTTATGTCTCCAGCAGTATTCTAAAAAGAAATCTCTTGTTAAAAATTCTACTAAAATGAACAAATTAAAGTCAGACATGTTTTTTAAACTATGCTTCAACAGAATAATATCAGTAATAATAATAAAAAAAAACTAATTTTGCAGAAGAGCAACAAGCTTTTGGGATATTTAGAAAAGCCTTAATCTTAATTTTCAATCATTCTAATGCACAAAAGTTTTAAACTCAGAAATCTTAATTTTAAATCTCAGAATTAAAAGTAAAATCCTCCTTTGTTAAAAGGAAAGATCCTAAAAATGTCAGGATCCGTGACTTTGCCCACCAGAGGGCGCCGTGGATCCAGGCCTGGGGAGCTTGGACTCAGCTTGATCAGCTGTTTCCTATCCGCTGATTAAGGAAGCTCCCTATTTAAGCTGTGTGTAAATTTCTCTCTGTGCTGGATCGTGTGTCTTACCTGTGCCACCATGCCTGTCTGAGCCTTGAACCTGTAAGATTCCTCTGAATTCCAATAAACATTGGACTTTTAATCCTCCCTCTGTGTCTGTGAGTCTGCATATGGGCTAGTAAAACCATCGCATCATGACAAAAAATACAATTCATTATTTTATCTTAGATGACCGCTTTCTAAGCATTTGACTAACACTGATCATATGAAAAGGTTCTTTCGTAAATTCGTTTGGTTGTCTTGCTGTGAAACAGAACAGTCTGTTAGTTTGCACTGAGCTGCTAATCTACTACAAAATGCTTTCTGTAAAGAAAAAAGCTTGAACTATTGCCATCATATATAAAACATAGAACCTTGTTTTATTGTTACTAATATTTCATGTATAAAGAAATATAAAAATTAAAATATATATTACTCTGAGTAAAACTGTATCTTTGTTTAGTTGATAAAATTTGATATATTA